AGTTTTCTTTTATACATTGGATAGGCGGACCGACGGACGGACAAGCGAACGGAGAGGCGAATAGATGGATAAACGGTCGGACTAACGGAACGAATTATAATAAGCTAAGGCCGCTCAACGCCTGGTACTGCCTGCTAGTCAAGATAGCTTCAGAATTTGCCTTTCCGTTGATTTAATTATATTTATATCATACACATGCATATATATAACTGTATTTGATTGTCTCTCACTCATTTGTATATACGGATGTATATCCGCTTCTCCATCAAGCCGTCGGAGTATTGATTTTCATTGGAGTTCGTGTGAAAAACAATGAAATTGGAAATAAATGCAACATTTTGGTTGCTCCTTGCCGGCATTGGCATTGGCTTAGCTGGGGCCAATTAATTTCGTTACAGCCATATGTGGTTTTATTGGCGCCCAAATGACGCTCCCAAGTTTCTGGGTTAGCGTGCGAGAGGCGAGTTGAGCTTTAATTGCGACCTGGCGCTCAAAATACTTGCTATAATTAAATTGGAAAGAAATAAATTCAAATGCTCGGCCCGGCAGCTTATGGCATATGGCAGTGCTGGCCCATCAAACTGGCAATAAAATGTATTTTTATTTAAATTAAAAGATGAAGGTCGAGGAGGCGATCATAAAACACAACTACAAACCGAAACTGAAACCGAAACCGAAACCGAAACCGAAACCGAGACCGAAAACGAAACCGAGACTGAGACCGAGTCTGAGGCCAGGAGCGAGACCGAGACCCAGCTGCCACATAGAACGGGTTGCATAATAAATGCAAATAATGCTTTACGACGATGGCCCCAGAAATAGTTGCCGCACCACCAAAAGGACCTGCCACAATTGACCATGTGTGTGTCACGTTTTAAGCATATACATATGCGTTATGTGCATATGTAGGCGTGGTGTTTGGACGTGTTTTTCGGCCGGCACCTGCCCGTGGGCCCAGCGCAAATAAAAACAGCACGAAATTTCATTTAGCGAATGGATAGCGATTCATAACTGTCGTATATTAACAGCAACTAATGTGCGGCTCGATTGAGCGAGAGGGGATTTGCTGTACTTGCTGTACTATGCAGAGTGCATTGGGGCTGGGGCGGCGCCACACCTCAAGCCCGAGCAGCTCCATCAGCGACGACGGCGACAATCCTATCGCAGGCGTCAGCAATATATATACCCTGGATGGGACATGCAGGCGACGGCGTGCTCGCCTCACGCAACTCATAAAGGTGACCAGTCCAACAGTCTATATCCCTCACTTACTCACCCTCTCCTCTTCTCTCTCTCTCTCCCTCTCTCTCTCTCTCTCGCACACACACACTCTCTCAGTGGGATATGTTATTTATTTTCTGGGCACGGCAGGGCAAGGCGTTCGGTTTCTGTAAGCTCAACCGGAAAATTGCTTTTCTCGCTGAGTAGTCGCTGGCCGTTGCCGTAGCTATTGCGTTTGCCTTTGCCTTTGCCTTTGTGTTTGACTTATGTTTGTGACTCTAATGGCCGCCAGACAGCAACATCAAACAGTCAACAGTGGCGAAGACAACAGCACAGAATAATCGGCTGGCCGCATCTAATATACTCTGCCAGCCCAAGGCAGCTGACGGCACGACAAGGACTTTGGCAAATATATGGAGTTTACTTGGCATAAGCTAAAAGGCCGAAATGAGGTCGATGGAACCGTTATCTGATCCTGAGCTATTGCTAACACACATATGTAAGCAATACCCCAGTTCTTATAGAGTGATCAACTAAGAGCTACGGAAATGGACGAAAAGTGGTCGATAAAATCGTTATCTGATCCCGAACTATTGACAACGTAAACAACTTATGCTTCAGCTCACATAAACTTGGAACATCATAGTCATATCAGAAAGGCAGCTTTAACATAAAGACTAGTGAAAACTTGGAATATATTTATCGATATAATATATATATTTGAATTCCCGATTCCCTCACAGCCAAGACTACATCTGAGTGATCCCTGATCACTGAATCCCTTCAGCAAAACTGATGTTATATTAACTTTGCGAAACAAACGATTCGTAGAAATCTTTAATTATAATTGATAGAACGATGGGTTTTATTTGATATTGATATATCGATAGGTGACTTCTTATACCCTGAACTCGAAGCCCGCTGTGCTTTATTCTGTAACCTCGTTTTAGTTTCCTATCTATAGCCTCTACAAAATAAATGAATATACGATTTATTATTTCAAACGAATCGGCAACACAATCATGATGGCATTGACCTAGTATAAACTAGTATAAGACTTGATTGATTGCTTAAGTTTAACTTAATTCAATAAAAAGAAAATATATCGTTTTAAGTAAGTATGTAGTAAGAGAGTGCATGTATCCAAGTTTGAATAATGCTGACTCATGCTAATAGAGAATCAAGTTTGATGGGTCTACTTGAGAGTGGATATCTCAATCTATTGCCATCTGAATCTCATCTCAAGACCCAAAGCATTGAAGATGCAATCAATCCGATCTGAGATGATCTCAAGTTTGATAAATCGTTAGTTTGCTTGGTTAGCCATCCATGCATCTAAGGTATATTCGACCTAGTGCCCTATAAACTTTCGGCCCAAGTCCGACGCACTTCACAATGCTCTTTCGCTCTGTTAGGGTATGCAATAAGTAAACAAATACAAAAACAACTAGCTGGAATTGGTTGCTTGAACCCGTTTATTTCCTTTATTTTTTCTTTCTTCATTTTTTTTTATTTTTCTTTTCTTTTTTTTTTTTTTGCTGCGAATTGTTTGCGCCGCTGTAATTAAATTTGCGCCCGCAATGCAATCGGCGACTGCAGCGCGCATCGCCTCAAATTTAATTGTTATATTAATATTATTGCATGATACTCCCAGACAGGCAGACAGACAGACAGACAGGCAGGCAGACAGCAGACGGCAACGGGTCGGCTACGTGATCGCAGAGGCGCGCTTATAAATCACACATTTCGTATACGCGGCGTGGCACAGGCTCGAAGCGGAGCTGTGCTCGGAGCAGCCATGTCCGGCACGTCATTCTAGCCTGGCAATGTACGTGCCAACTGTCAGAGCAGAGTCCGGGCAGAGTCTGGAGCAGAGCAGCAGTCCGCAGCCACCGAATGGCTCAAGAGCAGCCTCGAGCAAAAGCAGCTCAATAAATAATAGATACACATACGTGTCTATCGAGCGGCAGGACATGTGTGCATGTATGTGTATGTATGGTATGCAGAAATATGCTAGAAGTCTAAGTAATGCCCACATTCCACATTCATACATTTGATAGAATTCGTTCTACCTGACGAATTGGTCAACGGTGTCCAAAGGTAAGCAGCAAAACTACAAATTGATCTGAAACTGCTAGCTGAATGCTTAGACAGATAAAAGGCGAAGGGCTATATATGTAAATACTTACATTCAGTTCGACTCATATTACCCAAAAGCCAAGATTTATGCGTGGCTCTATTCATAGATCAACTAGTCTTTCCCAAATCTTTCAATTTCAATCATGAATGAAGTTGAAGCATCAAATAAATAAATAGAGAAAGGAGATAGTTACATAGTTACACATTATAGTGAGTACTGAGTATTCGGCAGTCGGCTATAGCCACCTGTCAAACAGTTACCTAAGCAAATGATGTGCTGTTTGTAGTTGGCTTTGGCATGCTCGAAATTTAATTCGGGCCGGGTGGCACCTGCTAGACGATCTATGAAACAAAGCAAACATGAAAAAATAGCAACAATCAGATTCACAACGGGTGGCTCCGACTGCGCCATGCTCGCCTTCAACTATCTCAGTAAGCATACTCTACTTAATTTGGCTCATTTAATGTGGAAAGCAAAAGATTTGCAGTTATGCTGTTATTCAATTGGGCAAGCCAATATGCCCGTTGACGCACGCTTAACGAGCATTTAAACAACACACACTTAACCTTGATTTTTATGGTATTCGAGTCGACTTGGTGACTCAATAGACATTGACTTAAGCAGCGTTAAATATGCCGAGGTCAGTGAGTTTTTTATGAGTTATTTTTTATTTTTATTTATTTTTTCTACTATTTACTGTTTGGTTTTCTTTTTTTGCGGATTGACCAACAATAACAACAAGTTGGGTTAATCGTATTGACATCTATTACCAAATTGAGCCAAGCAAAACATAGTTTTAGAGGAATTCGCCAACTTGTTTAAATATCTCTTTAGGAGCTTTGCAACTGCAATTGTTGACTTCGATTTGCAACTTTTTCCGAAAGGGAGTAAACAAGTACAAATGTATGTTTATATGTAAATCGATGTTTCCTAAGTGTCAATTGCGCACGTTGCGAATATCACATTTATTTCACAGTGATTTCTACCATACTCTGATTGATGTTTATCTATGATCCATTTTCGATAAGCCTCTCTTGACTTCTTGCATATGTATAAATAATAATAAATAATACTATTGTAATTACACCTTGAGAATTATAGCCGTATATTTATAAATATTACTATTATATTCACACCATCATATTTATTCATTAATTGGATTCATGTGTTCTTATATATGTGTGTATATAAACCTTTTGGATTACTAGGATCAATCCGAAATATCGAGTTGATAAATATATCGATCAATTGATATTGCACTAGATGAGATTATTATTTTTAAAGATTTATTTTTGTTTTCATTTATCACATCTATCGATACTTCAATCAATATTTATCGATTATCGATTATCGACGCATGCATGTATTTATTGAATGCATTTCGATTAAACTTTTGCCCCTGCTTATATATACATATATTAATAAATTCGGGCTTCAAGCTTTATTATGTACATATACATTAGATTTACATCTTCTATATCCTTCCTTCCCACACTTTCATAATTCACAGAACACAAGTCACATTCGATGGCTGATCGATTAATATCGAAACACCAGCTGGCTAACACATCAAGACAGACAGCAATAATTAAAATATAAATATTTTGGATCACATTGCGGCAAAAGAAAATAAACTCACTCGCTTTCACTTGGTGCACACACGAAACAAAAATAAACAAAAAAGTAAATAAATAAATTTATTTAGAAAACTTAACAAAAACAAAAAGAAGAAGCAAGAGATTGCAGTGTAACCGAAAACGAATTGAATTTCAGGGCGAGCACCGAGCATAAAAATGTTTTCGGATTACTTGATTTAAACGCACGCGAAAGAGAACTAAACGCAACGACAACCAAATTGTTTAAGCTCTATGCAGCCAAATAAAAAAAGTAGCAGAAATAACAAAAATAAGTAAATTATCCACAGCCGAGCTGACAACGTCGTCCGAACCGGACTGCGCACAGTGGAGCCACCTTCGCGTCACTTGTCACATGCCAAGCAACACATGTAGACATGTAGACTCGAAAATAAAGGGAAATTATGAGAGTTACACTTAATATATATGTTATATAATAGAGTTAATGGAGGAGTATATTTTCATATTGAAATTGTTATTTAAAGATATGCATATGTTATATTATCATTTGCTTACTATTTCTTTATTATACTTATTTAGAAATAATATCATTAGAAACACATTTTATAAATCGCTATACATATTAAAGCTTATGCTCTCCATAGTTCACACTTCAATCAGCATCAGACCACTGTGCGAAGCCAGCAGCAGCGAGCGACGAAGAGCGCGGACGATGTCGTCTTCGGGCTATTCAAAGTGCAGCAACGGCATCTACGACGGCTGCGCAGCTGACTGAGCAACGGCAACGGCGGCGACTGCGCAGCAGTGCCGCTGCACCGCATTCAGCACATGGAGCAACACACCACCCCACCCCACCTCTGGTCCAACTCTTGTAAAGTAGTAAACGGTGTAAGCGGCACCAGCTACACATATAGCGACTATGTAAACGCCAGAGCAGGTTTCGCTTTTATTTTGTGTTTATTATTATTATTCAGTTATGCTCTTGCATAAGAGCAGCCGGCGAGCAATAGCGAGAGTACATGCATACATACACGTATGTACGTATGTGTGTGCTTGCATGTGCATGAGTGATGTAACTGTACATGTACATACGCATAGGCTGCCAAGCATAAGCGAATGAATGAAGAGCGGGCGAAGAACAACAATGGAGAGCTTAAAGCTCACGGCTGGAATGCTTGACTAATGCAGTTGACATTTGTATGTACATATGTACATACATATATGTAGTTGTAAGTATGTATGTGTATATGAGTATGGGGTGAAGTAAAGATCGCAAATGCTCAAATGACTTCAAGCTATAACTATTCACTACAGTATGCATAATGCCGTCAACTAGTCTTGGAATAAAGTTACGAAAAGTTTAGCTATGAAATCTATTAACGTATGGATGAAGTTTCGCCCGCATATATGTACATACATATGTACATATGCACATATCATTACCTCTTAAAAGCCCAATATGGTGTGTTTGTTTTTAAAGATGTTTTCAGATAAGAGATCTCTAGATATGGATATGGATATAGATATGGATTTTCGTTTGATTAATCAATTTTGAAGATATTTCCATTTGACTAATGTATATTCATGCATATGAGGTAAAAATCAGATCAATTTCAAAATCTGCATATGTGTAACTATAACTGCATACACATATCTGTATAACTAACAATATTGCGTATGTACATATGTATGTATTTATATCACACTGCCTAAGGTCAACAAGATGTTTTAATTAAGTTGGGCTGAGAGTAGTAATGGCTATATTTTTATACCCTGAACCCATTGAAAATGGGAAATCAGGGTATAATGTTTTTGTG